ACGTGACAACTGCCTGATGAGAAAATGTAGAGAATAGTTGTTGTTTTAGGTGAGAGAGAGAGAGAAAAAGAGAGACTTGCTTTCACTTCTTGGGATGTCCCCTCTCTCAGTTACGTATTATCAACATCATCATCATACACATGCACCAGCGTCAAGCAAAAAGGCAGTGGGTAGTGTCAAGATGAAGGTCGTGGAGGTGTTGTTTTAGGCGGTGATGGTTTGATTTTGCCGCTTACAGCGGCTAGTTTATTGTGCACCCCACACTCATCTTGTGAGCGGTAGTGCAAAAGGATTACAGAGTAGAATTTACAACGGGTCATAATAATTAACCCCCGTGGTCAGGATATTATGGCAGTGAATGTTACACAATATTTCAATTACATTATTTGTTTAGTTCTATACATAAAGGGTAACTTATTCACAAATGCGTAAGTACAGGCGTGTGAGGCAGTATGTCTGGCCGCACACTTTGTTATTGACATTTGCGTGAGAAGTATTCAAGCACATTGTGTATTTGGTTCTATACATGAGAACTGATATAGATACTAAGTGATACAATCTTAATAAGCCATTAGAGATGAAGTGTTGTGCCATTTCACACACAGTGTGCTTGGACCTGTCCCTAAAAGGTTCTATCTTCACACAGTCGAGGACGTAGTGTTCAAGTGTGTGGCCATATGGTGATGTGTAAGGTGGTGGTGCAAGATGTTTGGTGATGGTGGAGATGTGATGAGGGTGGTGAGATGTGATGAGGTGGTGGTGCAAGATGTTTGGTGATGGTGGAGTGATGAGGTGGTGGGAGATGTATTTGGGATGGTGGAGATTTGATGAGGTGGTGGTGGAGATGTGATGAGGTGGTGGGAGATGTATTTGATGGTGGTGGAGATGTGATGAGGTGGTGGTGGAGATGTGATGAGGTGGTGGTGCAAGGTGTTTGGTGATGGTGGAGATATGATGAGGTGGTGGTGGAGATGTATTTGTGATGGTGGAGATTTGATGAGGTGGTGGTGGAGATGTGATGAGGTGGTGGTGGAGATGTATTTGATGGTGGTGGAGATGTGATGAGGTGGTGGTGCAAGATGTTTGGTGATGGTGGAGATGTGATGAGGTGGTGGTGGAGATGTGTTTGGTGATGGTGGAGATGTATGGTGGTGGAGAGCGAGAGTGACGAGGAGTGACACTGGAGCCGATTCCCAGTAGGTGACACCATCCTTATCCCCGGTGTCACAAGGGGCTAAGTTAGCTCGTGTCGTCATCTTGGTGCTCTCAAGACCTCTCTGTGGCTTCACACTGTCTGTTAGGTTAGGTTAGGTTGGGTTGGGTTAGGCTAGGTTAAGTTAGGTTAGGTTAGATGAGTTAGATTAGGTTAGGTTGTATCTGGTTAGGTTAGATCAATATAGGTTAATTTCCCTTCTATACAGTTAGGTTAGATTACCATTAAGTTTATTAAATATTGAGTTAAAAGAAGCTTAAAACAAAAGTCGTAATCTACAGGTAATCCCTTATACCACCCCAATTGACCCGGGTTCGATTCTCCTCTAAACCAAAGCTACTACTAGGACCCTATTACCCATATAATCGTGACAATGAAATAGGGGAGACGTAAAGCTGACCAGATTCTGATAGGTGACTCCTGACCCGCATGTGTTGAGTTGGTTAAGCGTTCTCAGGGTAGCTCTTATAGTCGTGGACGTGGGAAGACAGTGAGGAGACCTTGTATTCCCACAGTTGTAATAAACACTTGGAAAATGAGAGAGAGGGGAGGGAGGAGAGAGAGGGGAGGGAGGAGAGAGAGGGGAGGGAGAGAGGAGGGGAAGAGAGAGGGAGGAGAGAGAGGAGGAGGAGAGGGAGAGAGGAGTGAGAGAGGGAGAGGGAGAGGGGAGGGAGGAGAGAGGGAAGAGAGGGAGAGGGAGAGGGGAGGGAGGAGAGAGGGAAGAAAGAGGGAGAGGAGGGAGGGAGGAGAGGGAGAGAGAGAGGGGCTCTTCACTGTTGGCTTATCGCTTCCTTCCGCTTCATTATCTCCCCATTTGTGTATATTCCCCTTTTCTTCATCTCTCCCTTATCTCTCCTTCTTCCTAAACTCGTCCCTTCTTTCTCATCTCTTCCCTTTCTCTTCTCCCCCCTCCCCTTCCTTCCCTGTTTCTCTCAACTGAAACAACTTCAGGCTAAAGGGAGGGAGGGGAGGGGACCTGGCCAGCCCTGTTTGTTTAGGATGATGGGAGGAAGTTGTTTTGTGTTGACTCCATGGGTTGTCGTGTGTGTGTGTGTCTGTCTGTCTGTCTGTCTCTGTCTGTCTGTCTGTCTGTCTGCGTGCGTGCTTTAATAATAAATAATAATAATTAACGGTTTATTGAAAGAGCTTGGCAGCCAGAAGGCTGAAAATTTACAGTTACATATTTGGGGAATGGGTTACGAATTACAAATAATATACAAGTAACATAAGTGACACAAATAAGACATATAATAACTTAGATGGGGATCAGCTTAACCACAGTTCATTTCAACATAGTGACAGTGTAGGAGCAGTGTTTACTGGGAGTGAATACACTGATTTATTACATGTTATTGATAATTTTACAATGGTTGGGACTGGGCTGTTCTTATAGCGATCAGTTCGTGCACGTATGGGCTGGATGCGGTTGTAGTGTCGAACAGCAATTCTCGGACAAGGATCTCAGGTGGTGTAGTAGGAGCCGGTGTCGGGGATGGTAGAAGCTTTACCAAATTTGCAGATGAGGCCGTGGTGATGGTCAGTGAGAGTCGAAAGGGCAGTGTGTTGAGCGCTTCTTGATATGTGTGTGTGTGTGTGTGTGCGTGTGCGTGCTCTGTGTGTGTGTGTGTCCCACATGCTTGTTACCCTGATGGGGTCCAGCTGGGAAGTGAACGCAGCCCATATTCGTTGCCTTGTTGACGTTCAGCGTGCAGTGTGCGCATGTCCGCGTGTGTGCGTTAGAATGTGTGTGTGTGTGCGCGGCTCATTCGTGCGTATGGAGTGCCATGCTTTGAGTACCCAACACCAAAGGAGGGCTGTCACCACCTTCTCTTGCACCGCCATTATCACCACCTGCATATCATCAACCCCACCCCTCCATCCCCCCTCCTCCCTCTCCTCCTCCTCCTCACCCTCCCACTTCTCCCACCCTCCCTTTCACCCCTCCTCCCCACCTCCCCTCCTCCTCCCTCCCCCTCCTCCTCCTCACCCTCCCACTTCCTCCCTTCTCACCTCCTCCCCTCCCATCCTCCTCCTCCTCCTCCTCCCCACCCCCTCCTTCACCCTCCTCCTCCTTCACTCCTTCCCCCTCCTTCACCTCCTCCTCCCCTTTCTCACCCTCCCTCCTCACCTCCTTCATCCTCCCCTCCTCACCCTTCCCTCTCCCATGGTGACCCCACTTAACCTTAGGCTCTTCTGTGACCTTTTAGTCTCGTGGCCGCCTCCCTCGTGGTGATTTAAACCCAAGGGACACCTCACGCTCTTTACGCATTCCATTATGACACGTTCTTGACCCCGAGGATGACAAGTGAGGGGGTGTGGAGGAGGTGATGAGGGGGGTAGGGGGTGTGGAGGAGGGGGTAGGGGGTGTGGAGGAGAGGGGTAGGGGGTGTGGAGGGGTGTTGAAGAGGGGTGGAGGCGGTGTTGAGGCGGGGGGTGAGGGGGTTCAGGGATCTCTGTTATTATCACACCCTTATGAAAATGTTGTTGGTGTTGTAATTTCGTGTTGTTGTTTTTCTTTCTTATGTCTTAGTTCAGTTCCTCACTTTATGTCGTCAATCTTTTCCTGTGTCTTGTGTTTCTTCGTATCTCTCTTTATAGAACTCTTGCTATTTCCTCTTCTCTCAGAACTGTTCGTTTTTTTCTTCTTCCTCCTCCTCCTCCTCCTCTTCCTCCTCCTCCTCCTCTTCTTCCTCCTCCTCTTTCCTGTCTATCCGAAGTCTCTCTGTTTCCTCACATATCTTGGTTAATATTTTCCTGCTCCTAGGGAAGACATTTGACTCATCTGAAGATATATCACACGAGCTAATATTACCTACTTACCGCTACTTGGGTGGGGGATTAGGTTAGGGTGGTTAATCCAGATATTTTGCTTCATGATCCTTTGTATATATTGAGAGAGTGCGTGGTCCATACTTTGTCTCAATTTATTTATGTGATTATTTCAAGTACCTCGTTTGGGTTATTTCAAGTACCTCGTAGTGGGGGGTTTTGTTCCCAGTGTCTTGAAGTACGTGAAGGACAAATACACTTAAGACACACACACACACACACACACACACACACACACGTACGTACGTGTAACGTTCATCAGCTGTTGGGTCGAGTTTCTCGAGGGTTCATGTGGTGAATATTCCTCGTAATAGTTATGAGGAATATTCGCCGCATGAGCCTCTGAGAGTCTGGACCCACGACAATAAATATTACAAACCTTGGAAATCCCATTTTCTTTCTTCAATCTGTCTCGGACGTCTGGCAGCCCGCCGCCATTTCCGCCCAGGTGATGTTGATTGACTGCTTTTTAGTCGGTCATGGTAAGTTCCATGACCCTGTAACTGCTCATCACCAGCAAGTCGAAGATTCTGCATTAGTTTTGCGTCACGCAGAGTTACTGGGTGTGGGCGTGGCCGCTATGACAAGTCTGTAACATGCGTGCGTGGGCCTCAGTGCCAGCAGTGTGCGCTTGTCTCAGCCATTTTGTTTATGATGTTGTTTACATGACGTCTTGCAGAGCAACACACTCCCCTTGGCCTCGGCGCTTGAGTACACTGAAAATATATAATTGTGAATGTATCCTTTCTACGGGAAATTTATTTGGTTATGTGATTGAGGCCCCCCTGGCGGAACAGTGCGAGGTAAATATTAGAGGTGTGAGGCAGCTGGTAGTGTGTACACAGGTCATTAACACCTCCCACGGTGTGAGTTCCCGACTGATTTTGTATCTTTGGTGACTTTCTTAAGGTTGATATGTAAGATTATATTTTAACACTTGTTCCCTTTTTATACACAGGTTAATGATTTGTATAGGCTAGTGTACAATACAAATTTATTTACGAATCACTTGACGTACCTGATCCTTCATTGTTGACTTGGAAGTACCAAAGACTCGTTCAGTGTTGTAGAACTTTACTGCAATATAGTGAGAGAAAATGTGACGTGTTTTACTGGTGAGGAAAGTAAAGTGTTGCGTGAGACAAACGTTTAAGTGGTGGAAGAAGTAACTTAAGAGAAACAGTGAAAATGTTGACCATGCAAGCAATGATCCACCGTCAGGAGGCTGGGGCAACCCTCAGGAAGCCTGACAAGACCACAAGGCCCACCTCTAATGGCAGTGGCAAGAGCAAGGGGAAGCGTAAGGCTGCCAAGAAGAAGAAGGACGCGGCCGCTGGAGGAGATGACGCTATCGGGGACATCTTCGTGGAAGTGCCTCAGCCTGGCGGGGATAAGGGCGTGTCAGAACCTCGGACGGTGGTGGCCCGGGAGTGGCTGCTGCTGAAGAACACTGAGGTGCAAGAGGTGGCCAGGGTACCTCCCATCAAACCAGGGGACCGAGGCAGCTCAGGCAGTGGTCATCAACGGGATGACTCTGCTCCCCCTCCCAGCCTGGTCCCCGTCAGGAAGAAAGACGCGCGTCCCGCCAAGAACAACAGAACGAGGGACGCTAATGGTAATGTCAGAATACTTAAGGAGCCGCGTCCTCTTGTTCAGGAGGGAGGCCAACCTAGATTATCTGCAGATATGACCCCCAAGACTGTCAAGGGCGGGGGTGCAGACGACAGAGAAGACCCAACCAGGGGAACACTACCCAGGGAGGCGACACATGCCGGTGACGTCACTGTCATAAGAGTGCAACTCCCATTCGACACAACAGATGAGCCTCACAACAAAGATGTTCCTCACACCCGGGACAAGAGTAAGGGTCCAGACTCCACGTCAAGAAAGGGTAGTCGCCACTTCACCTCAGAAGGTTCTCCTGGTGATAAAAAAGAGCGGAAGAGCGGGAGCAACAAGGTGACAAACGTCAAGCGTCACAGCTCCAGCCGTAGTACGGGTTCAGAGGGCAGCACTTTACGTCGGATACGACGTCGAGGGACACACCACAGCAGCACCGCCACACAGACCCCTCCCGGTTCTCATTCTGAGTTACGTAACTGCACAATACCTCCAGACACCAAGCGTGGCTCTTATAAGAATCACGAGAATCCCGCGGCTCACAACACCGACCACCGCACCCACGAAGAGAATCCTCGGAAAGATCTGACGGGGAGTATACCCGGTGCGTCGCTCCTGCTGAAGCTGGTGTTGCCGCGGGACAAACGCACCAGCAGGCATTCCGGGGGCTCTCCCTCCCAGGAGGTGCCGCCCCCCTCCACTGTACCAACACCCTCCCGGGCACCAGCCTCCCCGCCCCTCCCATGGTTCTGGTCTCCTCTCCGCCATATGGAAACTGCGAACCCTCCACAGCCTCCTCTCCTGCCGCTGCCGAGGGGGCCGCCACCACAGCTGGGCCCCGGCTGCCAGGGCTTGGTTGCTGGGGGTGGAGAGGCCGAGGCTTTGAGAGTCATGCCTCTCTTACCAGAGGATATCGTACCATTCCCGCCCAGGGCAGCACCGCCTGTGCCTCGTCAGATACAAGGTGATCAGATGAGCATCTCCAGCCTCAACAGCAGCCTCGCAGGACACACTTACGAGCAAGTTAACTTTGTCATAGAACCTCCCATATCGGAGTCCAGGGAAAATGAGTATGAACTGAGTAAAACTATAGAAGAAATGCAGTCTTATCATATTGATAAGAATGAAATTCCCACCCAGGATTCCAACCACGTTTGTGTGCGAATAACTGAGCACCCTGAAGCAGAGGCCCCTGAGGGAGGTACGACGAGGAGAACCTCCGCCCGGAGAAAAAGAAAGAAGTCACGGTGTGCAGCCACCATCACCGACGACTACCTGGTGGGCGACCTTTACCCTGAGGCGCTGTGTAGTCAGGAGGACCACATGGAGATAGTTGGGAGGCGAGTGTCGCAAGAAGAGGAGAGATGCGTCGCTCCTGCAGTGTTCTTCCCTCACTCCCTAGCCACTACAAGTACATATGACCGCCGACGACGGTCGTCAGCCACTTGCAGCAGCACCAGCAGCCTCGCCGGTGAGAGACACATCGTGACGTTGGAGAAACCGATCACTTTAGTAGCCGAGACGAGGCTGGAGCTGGGGTGTCGCTCAGTCTCTGTGTCGCCTCCGCTGTTACAACAGTCGAGCAGCTTTGAAGAGAACACAGCTGAGTTACCAACTTCCATGACATCGTCAGCGAGCAGCAAAGACGCAGTGTTCATACACCGCCTCTTGACGCTTGTTAACCAGGAGGGAGATCAGGGCAGCAGCGGCGGGGGTTCAGGAGCGTCAGGACCTCGCCATAACCATCGCCGGCGGGGTGTGTACGTCCCGGTGGACACAGAATCTGATACGGGGGTGACATCAGACCCGGAGCTCTGCAGGGAGCCCCAGGCGTCCCCCATCCCCGAGACTCGCGTCCAGGGAGAGAAGCAGAGGTCCATTAGCTTAGGCGGGCGTGACAGAGGTCTGTGTCCCCTCCATGGCACTACTATACCTTACCAGACAGGGTTGGCCCCGGCACTACAGCGACGACGCACCCGCCGAGCCTCCCTACCTGCAGCCGTCACACCTGAGCCACGACCTTCATTTTTTCAACGTTTACGACGGTCACTCAGGAGGAGCAGAAACGTTGAGCCCCTCATAGCAGAGATGCCCGGGGCACTGGACTTTATGACCCAGGTGGTGAACGCTGTGCCCTCGCCGCCCCCCGAGGAGCCCTCCCCGCCCCCCGGGGTCCCCTGCTTATGTCCTGACCCCGTCCAGGACTTCCGCCGCTTCCGGCCACGGTTAGGGTCAGGGGTCACGACGGTGAGCAGCGACGAAGAGGACAGGACACGTCGACCTCCCACTCCACAGGTAACCCACTCATATTACCTCTCACTCCACAGGTAACCCACTCATATTACCTCTCACTCCACAGGTAACCCACTCATATTACCTCTCACTCCACAGGTAACCCACTCATATTACCTCTCACTCCACAGGTAACCCACTCATATTACCTCTCACTCCACAGGTAACCCACTCATACTACCTCCCACTCCACAGGTAACCCACTCATATTACCTCCCACTCTACAGGTAACCCACTCACGCTACATGTAACTACCACTCTACACTTTATTACCCCAGTCCACCTGCCAGTCTTCAGTGGTTACACTCAACAGTCACTTTACAGTCTTACTTATTCTACCCCAGTCAACAGTCACTACAACACCAGTCTACACTCACTATCTCCAGGTCCATCATATTAAAGCATCATCCTGTTAATTAAACCATGACCAAGGTGTGATACTAACTCTTCACTATCGTCACCATTATCAAGGTAATGTATACAGTGATCATGTAGTGTACACAGTCACCATGTAATTGTGTACAGTGGTCATGTAGTGTACACAGTGACCATGTAGGTGTACACAGTGACCATGTAGGTGTACACAGTGACCATGTAGTCTACACGTGCATTATACAGTAGGTCACCAGAGCACGTGGGTTTGTTGACAAGAGAGTGTGTTGTATTGCCTGGTGCCGCTGGAGTATACAAGCGTTTAGTGTTCTCTTCTCTAATTTATCCACTTATTGGTTTTATTATTGTATTCTTATTCCCTTTAATAATAGTGTGTGTGTGTGTGTGTGTGTGTGTGTGTGTGTGTGTGTGTGTGTGTGATCATAATTTAATGCATTTACCGTTTTTCTCATAATTTCTATTTATATTTCATTCGGTTACAATAAAGTTATAAACACTTAAGATATACGACCCTGAAGTCATTTGTTTTAACTTATATTCTCGGCTCTTTACTTATGTCTCTTAATTCCCACGTTTATTGCTAATTGGTTATCACAGTCATCTGCCGTGGACAGACCAAAGGCTCGTTAGTTTCACAGTTACTTGTTTTATTTTACTTATTTTAGGTTTGTTTTCCACGCTAGTTAATTTTTCTGTTGTGTTTACTTTGTTATACTTGGTCCATGTGTGTGTGTTAGACCTGTACTGTACGTCACCTTACTTGACAGCTCACATCAGTTCAGGACGAGAGACGGACGTGAGGATAATGTGACCTTGATCATTTTAATTAAAGGTTGAAATCTCGTTAGTGTTGTGGCTGTTCTCGCGGGCGGTCTTCCTCCCTCGTTACACAGCTGCGGCAGTTCTGGGCTGTTACCTTTGGACGGTCCACCACCACCCTCCCTCCCTCCCTCCCTCCTGTTGCCAGCCAAGTTAGTCCCTCCCAGATAAAATTACTCCCACGCAAAGTCTATTTTTACATCAACTCTCGTTATCAACACCCATTATCCGCGTCCTTCCACGTTAGCTGAAAGACCCCGCCAGTGATAAGCTAAGAATATCTCGGTGTATCTACGGATGAATTACCCACATGATTTAAAGGGTTTCTGAGTTGAGGGATACGCCGCTCTTGTACCCGAGCTCCAGTGTGTGTAGGCACGTGACGTCACACCGGCTTTGTGATGTCACCAGGGCCATGTGATGATGATACGGGGGACATGTGTATGGTGAAGGGGGCTTACGTACACGAGGAAGGACTTGGGTATACGAGGGTGGAGGTGTCGTTGGTTGGTGTAACAAAGGCCTATCAGGAGTCGAAAATCATGGGATAATGTTAACTGCTTAATTTTATTGCCTTATTTATCGAAGTCCAGGTGTGTGTGTGTGTGTGTGTGTGTGTAAATAATACAAATAATTACCAGCATGGCAGTCAGAACGCTGAAAATATAGTTGTATAATAGGTGGATGGTTTTCTTGATTGACAAATAATACACAAGTAACATAAGTGATACAAATATGGTATATGATAGCTAGGTGGGGAGGTCATACTACAGGTCATTTCAACAAAGTAACAGTGTAAAAAGGTAAGATTGACTGAGTGAACACACTGGTTGATTACGAGTTGTTGATAATTTTACAATGGTTGAGAACGCAAAACTGTTTGTGTGTCGGGGGAAGGGGGAGGGGAGGGGGGGCACGTGACACACACACACACACACACACACACACACACACACACACACTCAGTTACCATGTAGGATAAAAGCCAAACGCTATGGTAAAAACTCCCTACTTGCTTCACTCCATCTCTGTGTAACACCTCGGGCCTTTGATCCACACAGTACCCTGAGGCAGAAATATCTCTCCGAGTGGGCGGGGTGAAGGTGGTAGGTGGGATGGGGTGAAGTGGGGTGTAGGTGGTGTAGGTGGGGTGTGGTGGGTGGGTGGTGCTTAGGTGGGTGGTGGAAGGTGTGGGGTGAAGGTGGGTGAGGTGGATGGGGTGAGGGTGGCTGGAGGTGAGGGTGAAGGTGGATGGGGGTGAAGGTGGGTGGGGTGAAGGTGGGGTGAGGTGAAGGTGGGGTGGGGAGAGGGTGGGTGGAGGGTGGCGGGAAACACGTGTGTAGACTGCACCAGCTGCCACACCCACCACCTGGACAGCTTTAAACCATCTCTTTCACTCGGCACATGATGTGTCCATGTAGAGAGAACCAGTGTGTGTGTGTGTGTGTGTGTGTGTGTGTGTGTGAACTCCCAGGGCATTACAAGGCCCGTCGACCCTTTCCCATACAGTATGTTTGACCCTGTGTTCTTGAAGGTTATGGGGGGTAGCTATTACCTTGACCCAGGTGATTGTGTGACGTGTTTACCTTTGCCCATAGTTTGTTTACATTCGTGGTCTGTTTTAACACACACACACTCCTTCACTGTGTATATATATATATATATATATATATATATATATATATATATATATATATATATATATATATATATATATATATATATATATATATATATATATATATATATTACTTACTTACGTGGCGCACGTTCAAGGTTCGTAATGTTGGTTCTGTGACCCAGCCATAAATTAATGTTTACATATGTGACTTTTGCTCATCATGTTGTTTACATGTTAAGTCTGCGGCCATTTGGGATTTTTATGCGGGGAGATCCGCGTCCTTCTGTGCGTGAGAACAAGTCTTGGGGCGGCTACACTCTCAGGCTACTTTTGGGCTACACACATGGGATACACTCTCAAGCTACACTACCAGGCTACACTCTCTCGGACTACTCTCAGTCAGGGTAACTCACACTTAAGTCACTCGTCCACAGTACTGCCCCCCCCACTGGCCCACCCAGTATTCATGCTAAGGGGCGGTGCTGGCGTCTGCTGTTTACATTTAAGGCTTTTGACGTTCATATTGGCGTGTTAGTGGTGCCAGACACACACACACGCACACACCACTAGACGCGACGGGAGGTGGCGAGGGGTAACTGACTCTCACCCACTAGAGCTGTTAGTGGTACTTATTTTACACCCATTGGGCGTGACAGAGGGTAGTGGCACTGGGCATGACAGGGAGGGTAATGGCACTGGGCATGACAGGGAGGGTAATGGCACTGGGCATGACAGGGAGGGTAGTGGCACTGGGCATGGCAGGGAGGGTAATGGCACTGGGCATGACAGGGAGGGTAGTGGCACTGGGTACACATTATGACGGAAGGGGGGAGGATGTATCTCAACGTGATACTTGCCATTTATTTCTGAAGGCCAACTATATAATTTGCCATATGTCTCGTGGTGGACGATGGATAATTATACCAAACGAGAGGATAGGAATACCACGGGAGATGTTGCCAGTACTTTATAGCAGCGAGTAACTTGAGTGTTCCTGGCTCTGTGGTGACGTCACGGTCAGCGGGTGTGCGCGCCAAAATCTAGCGCCGTGACGTCATGAGAACCTGGCGCGTTGCCTCCACCTGTATGTTTACCGGGAACTCATCTGGGAACCCGATTTTTTTGCCCAGGGTAAACAAGGCCGGCGTGAATGTCTGCCTGCCATACGAAGCTTAATTACTACTTCATGTTTAACGTTACTTAAGTTTGGTAAGCTTTAATAGACGACGATTTGATTTGGTTGAAAACGCTTAGAAGTGGAAGTTAGTGGCCCTGTATATCTGAGAATATGGTGATCATCCTGGAGCGAGAAAGCTGTATTTTAACCTTGGCCAAGAGCTTACCGGAGTAACATGAAATTAAATTTACTGGTAATTAACCTCTCACCTGGAGGCCAAAATAATATTTAACCTCTAAAGTAAATAAAGAAGATAAAAAGGGAGAAACTATACTAATTATTCCTTTTGTGTATTTCCAAAAGTATCCATTTGTTGATGCTGAGATGACATTAAGCCAAGTCATTATTTTAACTTAAAACTCCACCTCGAGACGTGCTTCCATCAACCCAGTTCTCGGGAGTATAATGAAGGGTTTGTTTCAGTGTTTACGTTGTGAAAGGCGTAGTAATTAGGGTCATTAAAGTGTCCTGGAGGTTGTGATGTGTTGGCGCCCTAGAGTGAGAGAGGTATGGTGGCTGAGTGTTGTGTTAAGGGAACTATTATTACCGCGTGTTGAAGGGGAAGTTACACCAAGATATTTTTAAAAGGAGAGAATAGTGTGTGTGTGTGTGTGTGTGTGTGTGTGTGTGCGTGCGTGCGCGCTTCATGTACTTTCTTGGGTGTCGGGCCAGACTTCTCGAAACTGTTTTACTTTATAAATACCAAAAGTAATAATCAAACATTTTAATTGTCCTGTGGATGAAGAACTTTAACTGGTCTTACACCAGAAAATTGACGTCATCGTCGCTTACAGCTCCGACCGAACGAATAAAGAGTCCCCGTCGACCAGAGGATACGGGAAGACGTTTCACTTTCTGTACATACTGTACCTGGCTAAGATGAAAACCATTCTTGCTTGTGCGCGAGATAAAACAGTTGAGCAGCCGACGGAAGAATGGTTACAACCCAGACTGCGATCTTTTACGAAGTTAACTCTCAGTTGAGGGCCAAATGCTAGTTAGAATGAAAGTTTTTTTTTATTATTTAAAGTGAAAAGACTCGCTTCTTTCAGTTGAATATTGTAAGGTATTTTTAAATTCACAAACAACAACTTTGTAAACGTATGTGTAGATACTGCAAGTGATGCTATTATAGTACAGTATGCTGTGTACCAAACGGGAGTTGGTCTACCGGGATATTTACACTAGGGTACGTTGACCTAACATAACCTAGGTTAGGTTAAGTTAATCGACGCTACAGTGTAAATATCCCGGTAGACCGCATAATATAGTAGCACCCTATAAGTATCGACTACAGTATTACTATGCATTATCGATCAAAAATTTTATATGATTGTTTTTTATTGCAGGATGGGTGTGAGCGGTGGCGTGTGGAGGGCGAGGTGTGTCGCCTGCAGGAGGCTTTGGGCCAGCGCCTGGGCACTGCGGCCATGATGGTAAGGCGCCGCGACCATCGCCTACACACCATCAATACCATAGAGAAAACCATCCAAAGGCTCCAGCAGGATACCTTACGCAACAACCACAATAACTACAACAACATTCACGAGCAACAGAGGACGTCGTCTCCTATGCCACACCCCTCAGACATCATGGACGCCGTTAATGCAAATCAGGTACTGTACAATTAACAGTACTCCTGTTGTTTTTATCTGTGCTGTTCCTGTGTTACAGGTGCTGGGTCTCCTCAGAATGACTTTATATATGGTGTGGGTCACGGTCCGTGTAGGTGTCCTGTATCAGCTCAGATATCTAATAACACTTCACTTGAAAATGTACCATCACCAGTAGGGGATTATAGCGGCCCCTAAATATTGAGTGAATATTTTTTTATGCAGTTACTCTCCTTGCAAACGAAACTAGCTGTCTGGATATGGTGTGAGGACAGTGAGGCTGCTGTGAGGCTTTGACGTCATGATTTGGTTGTATGAGGATGAAAGGCTGTGAGGGTGTTGTGAGGCACGTAAGATGGAAAACTGTGAGGTATGAGTAAGGGTGCGGTGATGTAGAGGGCGTGAAGTAATGAGAGAATATGAGTGTGTGTGGTTATAAGAGTATGAGGTCACATAAAATTAGAAGTTTGTGTTAGGGTATGAGGCGTGATGATGTGAGGTTGTATGGCGGAGAAAAGTTCTTTATGGATGAAGAGGTCTTGTGTGGGTGTGACAATTTGTGAGAATGTGAAGTAATTTATAAATGAGATTTTGTGAGAAAGTAAAGATATGTAGCCGTATGAGGGTGGTGTAAAGGTGTGAGGCTGGTGTAAAGGTGTGAGGCTGTGGTAAGGTGTGAGGCTGGTGTAAAGGTGTGAGGGTGGTGTAAAGGTGTGAGGCTGTGGTAAGGTGTGAGGCTGTGGTAAGGTGTGAGGCTGGTGTAAAGGTGTGAGGCTGGTGTAAAGGTGTGAGGCACCGTAAGACTTTTCTGTGGATACGATTTGCTGGAGAGAAACTATAATGTCATCGAAGTGATGTTTATTTGTTTAAATAGTCATATTGTGACTAGTCGTCCTCATAGAGCCATAATGTGCAGAATAATGTACAGTATTTAAACACAATATAGTAATTAAATAAGTACAGTACAGGTTGTGTACATCCTCCTTCACATGTCTGAGGACATGGTTGTGTATATCCTCCTTCACATGTCTGAGGACCTGGTTGTGTATATCCTCCTTCACATGTCTGAGGACATGGTTGTGTATATCCTCCTTCACATGTCTGAGGACATGGTTGTGTATATCCTCCTTCACATGTCTGAGGACATGGTTGTGTATATCCTCCTTCACATGTCTGAGGACCTGGTTGTGTATATCCTCCTTCACATGTCTGAGGACATGGTTGTGTATATCCTCCTTCACATGTCTGAGGACATGGTTGTGTATATCCTCCTTCACATGTCTGAGGACATGGTTGTGTATATCCTCCTTCACATGTCTGAGGACATGGTTGTGTATATCCTCCTTCACATGTCTGAGGACCTGGTTGTGTATATCCTCCTTCACATGTCTGAGGACCTGGTTGTGTATATCCTCCTTCACATGTCTGAGGACCTGGTTGTGTATATCCTCCTTCACATGTCTGAGGACCTGGTTGTGTATATCCTCCTTCACATGTCTGAGGACCTGGTTGTGTATATCTTCCTTCACATGTCTGAAACTCTCTTAAGCATGGTACTGAAAACATCATTTGTGGATACCTACTGAATCTTGTACTGCTGGTGATCTTTGTGTGTTAAGTCAGTTGTGGTGGTGAGACATGGATATGATAATAATTGCTGATTTTTTGTAGCTTTATCTTTGACTCTTATAACTTGCTTCACTATACTGTACTGTCTCGGTGAACATGTTTGTGCTTACTCGTGTTGTGACTAGTGAAGGTGAACATGACATCTGTCTCTACTGTTGTTGGGGGTTCAGGATTCTAGGAAGCTTAATTAATTGAAGAATTGTGTATATGTTGTATTTGTGTTTATTTGTTAAGATTTTGCTCATCCAAAAGTACTTGACATGTGTTAATGAAGTTGATAAACTATAATTATCATTATTTTGTGTGTATCTTTTGATGGTAATAATTAGTTAACATCTGTGTATTGCTTTCATCACCAGCTTCAGGATGAAGATGGGACAACAGACGACATTAGTGAGATCCGAGAAATGGACTCACTCCAGTCTGATACCCTCCACTCCGGCGAGGGGGACACCCAAATCAAAGGGAGACCTCCCCTCTCTAGTCAAGATTCTAATGAGTTAGATTCTCCAACTGATACCTTACTGCAACAGCACCAGTTCCCCCCAGGAAAAATGCCTGCAGCCATTGAAGCAGTATTACGGGGAACTTGGCCTTTTGAAAAGGCTCTGTGGCACTCTAGTCCAGCTTCCATGGGGATGCCTTATAAAAATAATAATCAGGTATTTATAGACTCGTGTACTAATGTGGGTACTATACTATTGCCTAAGAGTTATTACATCATTCTTCAAGTTACTTTAATTCTAGAAGATATATAATTAAGTGCATTAAAGTAAAATTTACATATACAGTACAGTACAGTGCTCTGTATTGGAGATTTTATTTTTTTTTATTCAAAAGAGTATCTCTGTCTTTTTAACAGGAGGTACCTGGGATTATGGCAACCTCAAGTGTAACAAACAGACGTGCCCAGAGTACCCAGCAGCTCCTGACAAACAAGGTACAGTAACACCCGGGTTATATACCTTGCCTCTCGTCACTTGCTCACTTGAGGTTTACAGTCCCTGCCCTTGTGTTTTGTGACATTATTACATACTCATTAATTAAATGTGCACTTGTTATTATCAGATCCATCATAAATATAGAGAATTAAGATGACTTAAGGTATGCATGTGTGATGTATAAAGTTAAGTGTAGTAGTAATGTACTGTAAGTGGTTAAGAGGAAGAACAGTATGTCATGATAGATTTAAAAAGGTAAATCTGTTTGATGGTGCAGTTACAAGAACATTGCCAGCATGAGAGAGAGAGAGAGATCAATAAGTTCATGAAAGGAAGAGAAAGAAGAGGAAGAGGAAGATTGGCTTATGAGTTGAGTGACAATACTGTAGAAGAAATTTATAAGATATAACACCAGAAAAATTTTATTGTTTTACAGTACAGTATTTTTTTACTAAGACAGATCCAACATGTAGTACATAGGAATCTTTCAAAATGGGAGGGGGAGGGCAAATTACTTACATAAGATACTAGATGATGTCCTCTATAAGAATGGTATTAATTTGACAGTGTATGTACGATAATGAGATCATAATCCTGTTAACTTTGTAAGCTTCTTGTGATATTGATTGTAAAGTTTGTAAATTTTTCCATTCAGTAACTTGTGAAATCTCATAACTCATTAATTTACTTGTACTTTACATATTTAGTTGAAGTTAAAAGCCCTGAGATGAAAGTACAGATTTCTCTACATCATGATTTAGTACTGTATACACTACTGAGACAGATGCATCCAGTGAAATGTTCCTCCACAGAGCAGTTTAGGGGAGACTGTAAGATCAATGGTTCAGTGCAGAAAACCTTCCCTTCTGAGCATAATTTTTTTTGTAATTGTACATTTGAATTGTTATCTGCAATTGGCTTTCCATATAGATTATGATAATTACAATTCATTTTCATATGTTGATATTACATATGCATTAGAGAAAATGTTATAAAAAGATGAACATCCAATTGCTTACATGCCTCAGGTAGATATGTTTTCAGTAATATTCATTCTTGTTACCAATACTGTACAGTGGTCCCTTGGTTAACGAGCACAATTCGTTCCAGAAGGTTGCTCGTTAACCGAAAAACTCGTTAACCGAAACCATTGTTTCAATGGGTTTTTGGGTATTTGGTTCCAGCTCACCAAAAATTGCCTAAAATCAACAAAAAAGGTACTAAAGTACACTTACTTTGAGGTGTGTATGTAGAAGGCTCCTGGATGATGATGATGATGATGATGATGATGATGGGAATTAGAATGGGGTGGAGGAGAAGGGAGAAGAGAAGGCATTGGGGTGGAAGAGAAGTCACCCCATGGCGCCATTTCACCCATAAAATTTTAGTTCTCTTGGTATAATTCAAGATTATTTTCTTTAAATCAACACTGCACTGCATTATATGTTGTCAATATGTAAAATAAATTTCAAATTGACCAATAACTTGCTTGGAAATACAGAAAAAAAGCGTTTAGTTGAAGAGAGTCTCAAGCAAGATGTTACCTCCACTGAAAAGACACAGAGACTGACGCCTGTTTGGTGTGTTGACAGGCTGTTTGGCGTGCATAAAACTAGTTTCCTGTACTTCAATTATGTTCGGTAATTGTTAAAATGGCTAAAAAATTTAATATTAAACTTTAGAATTATTGAATAGTATAAACTTCTTAATATTTACTAAAATAGTAAGGAATTTAAGCCCTAGAACCGATTACTGTATTGGCGGACTAATACTACAGCTGGTGGACCGCCAAATGCAAGCGAAAACATGTGGAGGGTCTCTCGTTAAAAACTTGTTAATCGAGGAATTGCTCGTTAACCGAAGTTAAGAATCTTATGGAAGGTAAATCGTTAACCAAAATCTTGTTAACCGAGGCGCTCGTTAACCGAGGGATCACTGTACATGTACTCAGAACCATTGTATATTTTGTTGTCATGGCCAGTATAGAAGTTAGAGTGAATGACGGAATATAGAAAGAAAGATCGTCATGTTCATGGCTCTGGCTGCCCTGGGATATAACAGGAATGGGTTTACTTGAGTGATGAAGATATGTTTGTGTGATGCACTATAGCCAGGATATGATTAGTTACATGTTTTGTTTTTACCAGCTGGAAGGATAGAAACATAATGATAGAAATTACATGACATTAATACTGAACCTTAACTTCACTGTTTACAATGACCTCATTGTTTTAAGATGAACAAACCTCTATATTGTCCATATTATTATTAAATATTTTTACTTAATTTCTTACAAGACAAAGGTTGAGATTTTGAAAAGGACAAAATTAGAATAATGTTTGTATTTTTTTGCATGTGGAGACTAACAGCATTGCAAGAGTTATTTAAATCTTGAAATGAGAATGATGTGTTCCATTCTTTTTTTTAATTATACATCTGCATTGAATCATTATCAGTTCCCAAAATTTTCATTAATGTATTATATTGTACTGTACTTGCATCTGATTTATGTATGTTTAGGTTTCTGAAGTAAAAAAGACTGCACAGAATTGCCTGTTTTAAAAGGTCTTGGAAATGCCTTGCAACTTTTGGCTGACAGTTATCCGGACGTTGCTTTGTTCTTGCATGTCTCTGATCATTGCATTACTGGCAGGTGGAGATGGTCTATGGTCTTCTTTCCATGTTTTCCTCGGGTGATCGTGACGACATGAGCCGCACACTTCTGGCTATGTCCTCGTCTCCTGACTCTTGTGTAGCCATGAGACAATCTGGCTGTCTGCCCTTACTTATACAGGTATTTTCATGATTTTTGACTCTGTTGTGTTTTTACATTTCAGGCAACTAGATGATTGTTTGATATAGCCCCTTTTTTATGTGATGCCATTAGTAATATTCTGCTATACTATTGAGTAATATTCAGTTTACACCAAAACATTTATTTAGTATGATACAGGTATTTCTGTCATTAGACTTTTCAGTATTGGCAGTTCTTAAAGATTAAACCCTAATATGACCTTAAAATCTATATTGATAACAGTAGAATTTGAGAGAAGATTCCAGTAAAAATTTTCCGAGCTTAATTACACAGTACTGTATTGATTTACCCACAGCTTCTTCATGGGGGTGACGGAGATGTTGCACCCACTAGAGAAACTCGGCTCAGAGCTGCACAAGCTCTCCACAACATTGTCCACTCCCACCCGGATGATAAACGAGGACGGAGAGAAGCCAGGTATAATTTATAATGCAAACATTTGTATTAAGAAAAAAGGATGTCTTAATTTTGCTGTGATGGGTTTTTCATTTCCTGTTGAATGCACAAAACAATGAACAATCATGAGTATTTATCTTTTTTATGGTATCTATGACAGTGTATATTTTGTTTTATGATTTTTTCTGAATAACCTTACTGGATTCTTGGTTGTTTTGATGTTTCAGAGTATTGAGATTACTAGAACAAATTCGTGACTACTCGGACTACCTTTATGAGCGGTTGGAGCGGACAAGTGCTGGTCGTGGGCCACTATTAGAGGATGACATGGATCGCCATCCCTGTCCAGCAATGGCTGCCCTCATGAAACTTTCATTTGATGAGGATCACCGTCATGCTATGTGTTCCCTGGGTGGTCTTCACGCCATAGCAGAACTGATCAGGCGAGATCATGATGGTCACGGTTCCACCACATCTGATCAGTACTGCATAACTTTAAGAAGGTTTGTAGTCGTATTAAGTTTAGGTGTTGATATGACAACAGGAGTTATTAAAAGGGTTCAATTCAGTGTTTGAATGAAATGTATTTGGACTCTTCCTTGGTTGTCTGAAGAAAAATGCCTTTGTGGTGGGTCTTGTGTAACTAAAGAAGGATACCAGCCTTCCAGGAGCCAAGAGAGTTTGGGGAAACAGTAAGAAGAGAAATTAGAAATGGAAACAGTGAAAGATGATGAGTCTCCCCTCCCTCCCCCCTTTTTTTTTACATTCTTGCTGCTTTTCTCTAACTGCCCATTGAACACCTCTCAGGTTTGCCCGCTCCTTTTAGTAACATTGTAGTATAAAAATATCTTTACCTTAGTTCTATTTGAATTCTGTACAGTATCATCATTTTAGGATTCTGTTTCCTGTTATCTTCCTTTCAATACTCTTATACAGGTTGTACCTCTCTAGTCCGGCAACCTCGGGACCTGACGGGTGCCGGACCATGGAAATTGCCGGACCATGGAAATTCACCCTTTTCCTGGATAGATAGTGAATTATGCTTGGAAGCACTAGCACCACTTTCTCTGCATCATGGTCTCTTTGAAGACATATTGAAGGGTTAAATGTCATATAGTGGCTTCTCAAATTTCACGAGTTTTTAATTCAACGTATTTTATTGGAACACACACAAAAAATAAATAAATAAAAATTTTGACGGCGGAAACTTGAATTTTGACGGGTTTGAACGGCCCGCCAATGTGCAGACGACATGCATAATCGTGTAAACAGCATCATTTCTCTTATGTACAAAAGATTCATTGTTGTTTATTACTGAATGTCTTTTTTATTGAATTAATGTTTATGTGTGCAAAATGAGCAATACAATTCATTAATAATACGTAGAATATTAAAACACACGAGGATATGACACGGCATTGTTTTCGTTGATTACAAAACCAGTGACTAACTGGTTCTACATATAAAACTGAAGAAAATAAGACCTTGGTTGTAGCTGTAGTAAAATTAATATGGTTGTTTTAAGTAACGTTATTTAATGTTAATAAATGGAACAATAGAAGTAGCTAACGATAATGGTAAAGAAAAAAGAGATCGCGTTTGTAAGTGCGCACACGTGAAAACATATCATCATTACTTTACATAAGAATATGAAAGCAACACTTACTTACTGTTCATATATATTTTAATTAATGTTTCTGAATTTGTTTTTATTGAATTAATGTTTGTGTGTGCAAAATTAACAATACTACAATTTATTAATAATATGTGGAATATTAAAACACACGATGAGACACGACGGCTGCCGGCATTGTTTTCGTTAATGCTTACAAAACCAGTGACTGATTGGTTCTACATATAAAACTGAAGAAAATAAGACCCTGATTGTAGCTGTAGTAAAATTAATGTAAAAAAATTAATATGGTTGTTTGAAGTACCTGTAATGTTATTTAATGTTAATAAATGGAACAATATAAGTAGCTAACCATTAATGGTAAAAAAAAAGTGAGACTGCGCGTATGTAAGTGCACACATGTGAAAACATATCGTCATTACTCTACATAAGAATATGAAAGCAACACTTATTTACTGCTCATATATATTGAAGGGTTAAATGTTGTACTCTGTATAGACAAGCAGAGAGAGAGAGAGCAGCCGAACTGCCGGATGTAAACAAACCTTAATTTCCCGCGGCTTTGTTGTTGTTTTTTATGGGGATTAGCCCACCCGGGCATAGGTCACTGACCCACATTGGGGCCTGAGGGGCAAAAATTTAATACTCTTGTAATAATAATAATAATTCAGATAAGTAGAAAAAAAAAAAAAAAGCTGCCTATATACCTATTGGACAAACTAAAATCGTTCCGGACCACAGAATGCCGGACTAGAGAGGTACAACCTGTACTACCTTTTAGGGCCTCAAGGAATGATCACAAGATGAGACAGTTTATAGTACAGTATATTATCTTCATTTGTATTACGAATACCTGTATAACATTAAATGATTCATGGTATCTCTTAGTATGTGGAAACTAAAATAACACTTATAATTTTCAGATACGCAGGCATGGCTCTGACCAACCTAACATTCGGGGATGGTACCAACAAGGCTCTTCTGTGCTCCTTCCGGTCCTTCATGAGGGCTCTTGTATCACAGCTCCATTCTCCTAGTGAAGATCTAAGACAGGTACTTTGTTGTTTGTATTCCTTGGATCCAAATTCCTTGATAATGTAAATCTGCTAATAAATTTGTTGAAACTCTATCGTAACACCCAAGTTGTGTTTAATATAGAACAACAGTACAGTACATCATATTTTTAATCGGGATAGGTTTCAATATCTCACTACAGTACAGCTCCTCCCCGACTTACGACCTACTCGACTTACGACCACCCAGACATACGACCGCCTCAGTCGTACCAAAATGTTGTCAAATTACGTATTTTCGAGTCCCAACATCAGTGATTGCACTGTGTACTGACAAAATTTTCGTTTGTAATTCACTTTAAAATGGCTTAAGATTAAGATTCTAACTATGGGATTAAGTACTTTAAGCAATAAGACACATTATCTCTGCAGGATTTCTGTTGCAAATTTTGTTTTTATCTCATCAGAAAATACAGGGTATGATGAGTTACAAGGTTAGCTTAACATACACCGGTAAAAGGGGGGGGGGGGTAGAACTCAAAACTAGTGATTTCCACATGTCTAAGTACAGGGATGACCAAAACTTAAAATTTACCCAGCAGCTCCTCCCCGACTTACGACCTACTCGACTTACGTCCTCCCGTACTTACGACCTGCCACAATCGTACCAAAATTTGGTCAAATTACGTATTTTTGAGTCCCAAAGTCAGATACACAGACAAAATTTTCATCTGTAATTCACTTTAAAATGGCTGGCAAGCTTAAAAGTGAGTGTTTTGTGGTGCTGAGAAGAAAAAGAGACTCCCATTTCAGATTTTCTATGTATTATTTAAGCATTTCCGACTTACAACCATTTCGACTTACGACCTGGATGTCAGTCCCTAACCCCGTCTTAAGTCAGGGAACAGCTGTATTATGAATTTGTTGTAACTTGAACATAAATTTGAATTAGTTTTTGTAACAAGATAACATAGTATTACATCATATTCTACAACATTTTCTGATACTCTTGCAGGGTATACAGGTACAGTACTCTAAAAAGCATTTTTCATACACCACAGTGCTGGCATATTTCTGCAGCTTTCTCCACTCATAAAACTTTATCTTCTCTGGCCACCATAATATTTTGGTCTTTCCTCTACAGCAAGGGTCGGGGAACTTTTTTGGGTATTACCCATAAATTTTTTTGAATAAAATGAAATTACCCCCAGACTTCAAAGTACTCTAGTACAGTAAACAAAAACAAGCCAATTTGCTCCTAAAATTGTTGGATATGGTATATATATGTCTCTCATACCGCATGCATTACCCCCAAAATTTTTAAATTTACCCCATTTGGGGTAATTTACCCCTGTTCCCCAACCTCTGCTCTACAGTATATCTTTCCTTGCTCTCCTCAGATGTAGTCATAAATACCTGTACATTCTTTCAGTCATCTCTGCATACAGCATCAATTTATCTTTACTGTGCTGTATATACATAACATTGGTACTTAATATTGTTATTCTTAAAGTTATCAACCCTAATAAATGCAGTGAGGAAGAGTGATGATGTTCATGTTGTATGTTGTATTCTTCTCTATAGGTAACTGCGAGTGTGCTGCGAAACCTGTCTTGGAGAGCAGATGGAGCTAGTAAGGCGAGCTTAAGGGATGTAGGAGCAGTGGCTATCCTCATGCAGGCCGCCCTCTCTGCCCGTAAAGAATCCACACTCAAGGTTATTTTGTCTGCCGTGTGGAATCTGTCGGCCCACTGCAGTATTAACAAGGTGCGTTTTTTGTACTTTAATCATGCTTAATGAAATATTGGTTCTAAAATGTATTATAAAAGTCTGGCTATTATGTTGTGCTGTATATAGACTAATTGTTCATGAACTCTCTGCTGCAATAGTTTATTGTTAAGAAATAAATCAGTTAATAATGAAAATAAAGAAATGCCAATAAGAAAACAAAATTGTTCACTTGGCAGGTAGGGCCAATTATTATCAAATTTCTTCAACCACATGTAATAGAAGGAAGGTTTTGCCTTGCAGGCCGAAATTTGTGCTGTGGATGGAGCCTTGGCATTTATCTGCAGTACGCTCACCTACAAGTCCCAGTCAAAAACCCTGGCCATTGTTGAGAATGGAGGTGGAATACTCAGGAACATTTCTAGTCATATTGCTGTCAGAGAAGATCTTAGGTAAGTACAGTATTAGTTTCTAATTTTATCGTCAATAACAGATTTAAAAAAAAAATTTGAGTGTTTCTCTCAGGTTTTAACTACTGTACTGTAAGTTGTAATATAATAATGATAATGGAGATGAATTAAAATACTTTATTGAAGTACAAAAAGACAGACCACAAGACAGTCAGTACTCAGGTTGACAATTTCTTATCCAAAATCCTTGGGGCCAGATGCTTTTCGGATTTCAGAATGGTTAGGTGAGGTTTTTTATTATTATTATTATTATTATTATTATTATTATTATTATTATTATTATTATTATTATTACAGGGATCAGCCCACCCGGGCACAGATCACTGACCCATATTGGGGCCTGGGGGGGCTAAAATATAATTATAATAGCAATAATAATATTAATTCTAGGTCATGTTTTTCACTTTTGATATTTTTTCATTCTTGTATTTTTTTATTATTATTTTTTTTTTATTACTACAATATTGTTGTTGTTATTTTTATTATTATTATTATTATTATTATTATTATTATTATTATTAATATTATTATTATTATTTTATGATTATTATTATTATTATCATTTTTATTTTATTTTTTTGTATTTTTTATTATAAATTTTATTTACTATGAATAATTATTATTATTATTATTATAATTACTATTACTATTATTATTATAATTATTACTGTATTACATTTTTGTCCCCCAGGCCCTGATGTGGGTCAGTGACCTGTGGCCAGGTGGGCTAATCCCTGTTTAAAAAAAAATAAAATAAAAAATTGCTCCACAAAAAAAAATTCGGTTTTCAGAGGTTTTCGGTTTTCGGAATTTCGGATAAGGGGTTGTCAACCTTGAGTAGTTTGATCATGTGAAGTGAATATTGTATAAGAAGAAAGTAAATATCATTAAGGTAAGGGAGGAAAGCACTTGTGAAATAATAGAAATATGTAAGGTGATCACTCATCCATGGGTTCACAGCTATGTAAGTTGAGGAGTGATGCTTTACAGTTAAGATGATATTTGTAGAATACAATATAACAATAATTGCATAGTGATATTGATTTCTTTTCCCTCTGCAGGCAGGTACTGCGGGAACATAGTACATTAAACACACTGTTGGGTCAGCTACGCTCACCAAGTCTGACAGTAGTAAGCAATGCATGTGGAACTCTGTGGAACCTCTCCGCAAGGTGCAGTCAAGATCAGCGTATGTTATGGGAGTTGGGTGCTGTTCCAATGTTACGATCACTAATTAACTCAAAACACAAAATGATATCCATGGGGTCAAGTGCTGCTCTGAAAAACTTGTTACAAGCAAGGCCAGAGGGAATGTCTCTGACAGACCCTCGGCACGGCATGGGTCTGCCCTCCTTACAAGCTCGTAAACAGAAAGCCCTTGAACAGGAATTAGATCCATCACTCTCTGAGACTTGTGATAACATAGAAACTTCACCACGTTCCTCACCAACTCATCCTCAAGGTACTGACCCTCATTTTTATGGCCAACCAGGAGATGCCACACAGTACTACCCAGGCACCAGACCCATGTTCCACTCTCTAGGAGCACAGTATAACAATGTCTTAAGATCTGAGAGTAGAGACTCTATATCTTCAACTCACTCTGATAACTCACATGACCGAATGAGGCAGTTATTAATGCGACATCATCAGAATGGTCGTGAAGGCATTGGGGAAAATGGCAGGCCTCTGGATTTATCACTTAGGTCTATGGCTCCTCCATCACACTGTGTACCAGATATTGCCCACATGAGTCAAGATGAACTGCAGAGACACTTAGAATCCAAGGAGTTTAATGGAAGTGCCGATGAAATATTTGCATCACGTGTCCGGAATATGAAAGACGTGTTTAATCGTCAACCCGGTGAAGCTGTACCTTTTGCTGATGCCCTCAGTGCTTCTACTGCTAATGGTAGTCGTAATGGAGCCTTTCACAGCTCGGGTCCACAACCACCTTTTAGCCCTCGTAGACGACCATCAAACACGAGTGAAGATGAGAGAAGTGCAGCTGGAAGGAACTTTGCCAGTGGTAAACAACAGCAACAACAGCCTCTCAATGAAGCTCACTATAATTATTATAGCAAATATGTAAACTATAGTCGCAACCTGGCTGAGGTAGACATTGAAAATGATGCCCAGGAAGAGCCACTGAATTACAGCCTAAAGTGTGGTGCAGGAACAACATTGAAAACCCCAACAAATGAATCAATGGCCAACATGACCCAGAGCACGGAGAGACCTGTCCCACAGATTGACAACTTTGTGGTAGAGAGACGAGAACCAAGAAAAACAGAGCCACTCGCTGAAACTGAGAGAGATCCTGAGACCTTCACCGGTTACACAGAAACGGACCTTGACCAACCCACCAACTTCAGTCTAAGGTATGTCAGGATTTAAATTTTAAAACTTAGTGTTTTTATCCAAGCAGTTTTATGAGTTTTCATTGGTGCTGCTCATTTCTTTAGTTAATTTTTTTTGCACTATTTTGAATATTTTCTACCAATTTTTTTGAATTGCGTTACTATTGCGTTACTATACTGTATACTGCAGGGAAGGAGAACATTGATAATTCAGTACTGATATATAAATTCTAATACTGTATTAGAAACTATATATAGAATGTTTTTTGTAGTTTATCACCAGTCTCCTATTAATGATCCTGGAACAGTTTGGTATTGGGTCAGTCTCTGGTTCTGGTGGAGTTACCTGAAGCTAATCAGTAGCTGTATGAGGCACCGGTACAAGGCAGAGACAACAACAGATCTCTGGAGTATTTTGGGCAAAATGATGACTATGAGTGGTTTGTAATTCAGTATAGTACTGTCATCTGCTGATAATCTTAGATTCAGCTTTTTTTCTGCCATGTGCTAGATGGTATACTGTAAACCTAAAAATGTGTACTGCTGAGTATAGCATCACTGCTGAAGGTTTTAGGCTGCTTTTGGCTTAATTCATGGCCAATTAAGTTCATGTGCTCTTATTCATGTTCATATATGAGAAAAAGAAACCATTTATTGTATAACATTAAAGTGAAATACTGTACTGTATATGTAATTTGTAATTTCATGTATAAGTTATAGCTACAGTACAGTATATATTTCCTGACTGCCTTTGCATATCAATAAACCTTTCAGTTATTAATGTATAGAAATTATTAAAAAAAGTGGTATGCTGTTCATGTAGTAAAAATATTTGAAGGGAGGAATAAGGATTGTGAAGTTCTTTAAGAAGGCACAGAGAACTTCTCTGTGAAATGGGTATTTTTCAACAGAACAAAGCCTTTTATTTTTTCTCTGTGTTTAGTCATTCTTTTACAGGAAAAAAATTTAGTACAGAATATGATACTAGCACAGAGACTATAAATGTGGCTGTCATTAACTAGAAGTGTTACAAGATTTTCTCAGGAAATACTTACTTAATCTCTCATACTGGTAACATAAAGATGCCCAGTTTCTACCTTTGCTAAAGGGTTACCATTATTTTATATCCCTTTAGAATAATTTTGGTAAAAGAAAATCTTATTTTTTTTATCTTAGAAGTTTTTATTTTGCTGAATTTTTTGTACTGGTTTTTATATTTAGTTTTGCTTTTTCAAGATGATTTTTTTAATGTTGATATTATTTAATTATTTAGTGCTAATATGAATGATGATGGCATAACATTATACAGTACAGTGCCTGTATTTAGTTGTGTAAGATTCCATCACTTACTGTACATGTGCTATACTAGACAAGATTTCCTCATTTCAGTCATAAAATCTTCAGAAACATTTTGATTGGTGAATAAATTAATTATCTTACTGCTCAAACCATAAGAATTTAGCTTTTTAGAGAGTTGTATATTATTATTTTTTTTTACTATTGTAAATTATCATTGAATTTGTGGACATGCTAATTAGGCCTTGACTACTAAAGGTCGCACCTTCACAGGTACTCAGAAGAACGTGATAGTGATGAAGCTGCCTTGTACCGGCGTCCTCCCAAACCTCCCCAAGAACCCTCTTCCCAGTTCTTTGAACCCTCAATCCATGATGACTCTCTCAAGACCTATTACACTGAAGGTACGCCATATGAGACACCATACAACTTCTCCACTGCTACTTCTATGACAGACCTTCGGGAGCCAGCCATTAAGGAGATAGAAAGAGAAGGATCATCAGCGCCCACTACTGTGGAGGTGAGCTACTTGTCAAATCTGTGATCACTAAGATAGAATTAGCCCTTGTTTAAAATACCTTAAACTATTATTTTATGAGATATGAATGAAATATGATACTCTGTTGTAGTTAAAAACTGCTAAAAAAGTGTTGATGTATTTTTTACTGATGTGTAAATAATCATTCTCAAGAAAAAGAAAGAAAAGGAGAGTAAAGATGAGATCCTTGAAAGTGTGGAGGATTCAGATGATGCTCGTGACACCCTGGAGCCTCTGCCCTCCCACACCGGCCTCCCTGTCAAGAGTGGTCTTAGTTCAGGCATTATGACACCAGACAAACCCATCACATACTGTGTTGAAGGAACGCCTGTTTCCCTCTCAAGATTCTCATCTGTTTCTTCATTAACAAGTGGTGAAATCAATGCTAATAATGATAGGTAAGATTGAAAACAGTATTTTTTCTTTTTTCTATTGTTGTCTTGTATAGTTACTGTAATGCACTACAGTATAGGAGGCCTATAGAATAGCAAAGGATTATGTCTGAATATCTCAACTCAGCTCAATTGTCAAGCTGTACTGCATGTATTCTGCCCATGTTTCTATTTTGGGATTGTACCATGCTGGAGGCATATCCACATTGCCTAACATCATTATCTGATAGAGGAAGGCTGGGGCCATGGGCTGGCATAGAAAATGGGAAATTGAGTAATCTGGTTGATATAACCTTTCTATTCTAAACACCTCATATTTTCTTGTAAATTTAATGTTCAGGTCTTCATTTCATTGGAAACAAATGTATTTGATATATAAATTTCCGATATAATTTTTTTCAGTATCAGAAGATTTTATCGTGCTGTTTGACACTCGTTTGAAATTGTTTCCATTACATTGTACAGTTTTATTTATTTCTCTTTAAATTTCATGATTCTGAACTAACACTAATGATTTTCACACCCACTAGAGATGGCCTTATGGGAGAGCTGTCAGAAGATGGAGAGCACAAGCCAGAGGTTATTAGCAGTGAGGAGAAGAAGAACAGACAGGAGGAAGTCCGAGGAGAGGAAATCGAGGATGCTAACAGAGACGGAAGTCACACACCTTCATCCCAACAGTTAGAGAGACCGGAAGGTGAGAAATGTTGGGAGTGGTGTATCGTACGTCAGGGGTATTGCTGTTACTCATACTATATTGTATATATTTACATCTGTATATGTGTGTGTATGTGTAGGAGTGCGAGTAATATTGTCTTACAAAGTATTCTACTGAATATACAGTAAATCAGATAATTTTTTACATAACTTAACATACAGTATATCCTTTACTTTGCCTTTCCCAGTACAGTACTGTATTCAGATTTCATGTTTGTTATTTGAACTCCTTGTTTGTTCTCCAAAATAATTCATTATAATTTGAAACTTTTTCTGATGTGTTAATACTGTAGTAGTTATTATTGACAATTGTCACATTATTGTTACACAATATTTGTTTGGAAATTTTGAATTGTAATTTCTATGAGTTACCAATGTATAGAATATATGCTACATTCAACAGGAAATGTACAGGTATTTTAATATAACAAAATTTATCGCCAATCTTCTTTTTAGTGGTTTAGAAACTGTTAAGTTATTCACTGTAGACTCAACATACAGGTATATGATAATTATCCTATTGAAGATAATATTGAGTACCTGTATACATATTGCAATACTGTACAATATTTTAAATTAATATTAGGGTGTTATTTCTTTTTTCATTTATTACATTTCATAATTTTCACATACTGTACTGTCATTAAATTTCTCTTTAACAGGTACAGTATTTTATCTGTGGTCCTTTGCATGTACTGTACTTTCGTTAACTTTCTCCTTAATATGTATTGTATCTAGGAGTCATTTTTTTTTATAAAAATTTATACTGTAGTCATAAACAATTATTCAACAACTGTTTTCCTCACACAGGCAAGAGTGTGCACTATGAGGAGACACCACTCATGTTCTCCCGGGCCACCTCCGTCTCCTCCCTCAGCAGCTTTGAGGTTCAGTCCATCCATGATGACCGCAGCTCTGTTGTCTCGGACTTCAGGTACTGTACAGTACAGTATATGGTGTGAATTTATTGATAGATTTGATGGCAGATAACATTTGAAAAATCCTAAAAATATAAAATGTGTACAGATGCAGTCACCTCTCCTCGTGAACCACGAACCCAGAGCCTCAGACCCATGAATCCGAAATATTTATGGACAGAATACCACATCAGTGTCTACGAGTCTAAATCTCAGGTTTTGTGGAGCAGCAGGAGAGGCGACAGGATTTTTGTGGACGACTGTACATACAGTATTCTTAAAATTTTAAGCTCCTGGACTTAGGGCGAGTGTTTCATTCTTTTTGTAGTAATTACTGAAAAGAAAAAAATAACTTTTAATGCACATAAATGTAATTGTAGTGATGAGAGAGTGATTGAAAGATTGAGTGAAAAGAACCTGGATGTCCTTATTTTGTGGACTAGGACACATGCAGGGATTAAATTCATGACCTGAGATAATAAAGGACATAGCAGTTAGTGTTTCTGAGTGATAGAATATGGAGCTGCTGGATTTTTAAGGAAAGCCACATCTGTGAGAGGTAATGCTGGCTTGTTGGGCAGTAGAGAACCAAAGCATTATCTTCTTTAATTATACTGTACTGTGTATTACCATAATTTATTTCTTCTTTTCAACAGCCGGTTTACTAGTGGTGCAATATCCCCAAGTGACCTTCCAGATTCTCCCAACCACACTGTACCACCAAGTCCCAAGAGGTCGAGACCTCCATCACAGCCTTTCAAAACACCACCAACCCAGGGTTAGTTCTCAGGACTGATAAGTATTATATTCTGTACAGAGGGAGTGATACAAGACCAGGCAAACTGGTGGAGAATAAGCTTCAGCAACACAGATAAGGGAAATTTTTGAAGAAGTTGTAATTTTAGTTTTAAATACTTTTATTAAAAAACAACTTCCCATAATAAAAGCCTCTTCCTGAGACCATAATGGGATAATCTATGAAAAATCTTCACTGAATATTTAAGATACTAATGCTGCTATTGAAAATCCTACAACATTTCCCAAGATGATTTGTTGGAGAAATCTGAAGTTGTGTTGATATGATGCTATTATGAGTTATACAGAAATATGTGGAAATTTTAGAAATAGGGAAAGAAAGAGAAAACTGTAGACATAAGGGGAAACAATGAAAAGTTAAGTGGTGGAAAATAGTTCTTTGAGAGGATTTTTAAAACATTGTAGATTATGTGGCAGACAGTGTGTATAGGACTAGAGAAAAGGATCTGAGTCACAGAACATACTGTAGAAGTACTGTACAGTACTGTATATAGTTTCTGAGGTGGTTCCATTAGCTGCTAAAGTATTATAAGTGTGCAACATTTTTTTATCAGAAAAATTTAAGAGACAAATTTGTTTCCACTTTTAGACGGTATTGCTCTTACTGTTGATTTTTATGAACTGACAGGCCCAAGAACAAGTACGGGAGTGTTTAGCGAGGCCCCCAGAGCATGGGTAGAGGAAGGCACTCCAGTTGAGTTCTCCCGAGCCACTTCCTTATCATCACTTACAATTGATGATGACCTACCCATCCTGGATGATGGCATACCCACGGTTAGTATTTAACTATATTGCTTATCTCAGCACCCAATTAATGCTAGTCTTACCTTCATTATCTCACTTCTCGACATGACTTGTGTGATATTTTGTAGATACAGTATATCACTTAAACCCTTATGGTTCAATAGCTTCGTCTTAACACTGCTCACTTTCTTTGGTCTAACAAGAATGTCTTTCAACAGAAGCCACTACCAAGCATGTACACAACTATTCATTGTCTATCTGATGCATCTTTTCACTTCATGTAGTGTATGATGTCACACCTTTGACTGTGTTGTGTGTAGAATGGCGTATTGATTGATAAAGTAGAAGTGTATGGGGCAGATGTTTCAAGCATGTTATATAGATAATTACTCTAGTTTCTTATAGCAAAACTGAAAACATCATTAACTGCTTGCAATGTAGTTAATGGTACAGTAGTTATGATTGGAAAAAGATTAGAGGCCATTTTATCTGTACAGGTAACCACATTTTTACAAAATAAAAGTAAAGGTAAGGAAGAAAGAAAATACATAGAAAAAAAATGACAGATTTTGTCGAAGTTCCTGTGTGACGGATCCCTGATGAACCTGTGTAATTGTGGATATGGCCAAAGAATCCTAACTTGACTTAACCTAACCTAATCTAACTAGCAGTTGAAGAAAGAAGGTGAAAAGTGGAACATCTTTCTGATAACATCTGCTTAGATTTACTGTACTTAATTTTTTCAATTGCATGAAGGGCATGAGGAGTGTTTTGCTCGTAGTAACTGTACCACTAATTTCCTTCAGTTATATACTAGATAAATGAAGTTTGAGTGGATGTGTAATCAGGGTTCCCAAACTACCAAGGCAACAGGTAATACTCTTAAAATGTTTGCTTTACACAATAATATCTTAAATTACTCTACACCAACAAATATATATTTTGCAGCAATATTATTAACTCGGGTCATCATCCAAATTTTATGAGTCTTGTAATTCATGTCTTATTTTGGAACCCTGTATAATATTTGATACCATCATTATAGGTAGCCTGTATTCAGTCCTTTATCAAATATTCAGTCACAGTATTGACTCAGTGGATCTCTTATGTAGGAGCAGAATGTATCACCTATACTCTCCTAATTGTTTTGCCAAACTCTGCATGACCAAGTAATTAGAGAAAATTTTCACCCATGTTCCTATGTTTCATGATCATTTCTTGCCTGTTCATCTTTATTGTATCATTTTCAATTCATGTAATTCTTTTTAATTCCTTCATTGTAGTCAAAGTTACTTAATATTATTGTTTGTATGTTTGAGCCACCTGTACTGCGGGGAGAACTATGGCTTTATATCTGTTGATAATTATTTAGTTTAATAATAGTAATTGTAGCCATCATGGTGGGCACCGTAATTATAATGTTTATGTGTAATTCATCTGACATGTACGCTCACCTTGACAAACAGGTATGCACTTCTCATCCTTCAAAGGACCGACTTCGAGGTGATGGCAAAGACAGCAGTGAAACGACAGGTAGTGAGGCATCCCGCGCTGCCTCTCGTGGCTCCCAGAGGGGACGGCCATTGACCAACATTCCAAGACTCCATGGACCGGTACGGGAAATGTGTTGAACTGTGTGATAACCGTCTATAGTATAGGATATGGTTTACAATTGATTTCCTGTTACAGTATAATGTTCTGGCATTCTTCTAACATTATTCCTTTCATGCAATATTATTACTACTCAAATTATCTCGGGTTCATGATACTTAAATGAATTTCATTTACTGTTTTATTTATTGAATAATCAAATTGTTATTCAAATTCAAATTCTAAAGTTCGATGTCCTCCTTTCCCACAGGAACATGGGGATCTAAGTGTGTCTGCTCGGGAAGGAGATCAAATTGTAGGTGGGCGAGAGAGTTCAGAAGAGCCTAGACAAGACAGGTCGCGAGAACACTCCCAAAACAGGTCAAGTACTCACTCTGACTCTGAGAGTGAAGACCTGTTGGCTGAATGCATCAGCTCCGGCATGCCTGACAATACGTGAGTACAGTACTCTGTTAACTTCAGTGTCTTGTGTAGTATTGTTGCTGATACTGTACACAAGAAAGTTTATTATGCAGGACTCAAATTCTGTGTTTTTTTTTGTTTTTTTAAATGAAGTTAGATATTGAAAGATACAGTATCAGGGCAGTTTTTATGCTATTTTGACTACCAGATTAGTTTCATGGCTTAACTGAGCCAGCTGACTGTATCTTGACATCTCTCAGAACATGGAACTTAAATATACAAGCCTTTGAGAAACTGGATCCTGGACTCCTAAGAGTAATATTATGAAATGGTTACTAGTTCAGTTTGAAGGCCAGACTTTTAGCAGGATTGCATTGATCCCATCTCTTGACCATTCAAGAAAACACTGAGGGGGGAGAGAGAAAAAATATTGAAACAAGCCATTTAAAATAATGGAATAAATTAGCTGTCTGAGTAAAATCAAGAAGTGGATGTAAATGTTCAAAAGAATGTCTTCTTATGTACAGTATAAGTTGAGAAGAATGCAGGTAAAACTTAGCAGAAAATGGTATAATTTTTAGGGGTAATAGTAGGAGAAGAAATCTGAAAATATCAAATACAGTAATAAAAAGGTAAGTGTAACCGCCAGTCAGGCAGTTAAAGGATATTTAGACGCATGACATTGGACACAAACATTATAATTCGGTCAAACCTGTTGAATACAATTCATTTAGTATTTCAAATAAGTCATACATAGGCACTCCTACATAAATGTTAAATCCAATATATATTTATATAACAATCATGGCTATGTAATTAGTCTAATCTTAACACTTACAATGAGTACTCAATTTCCATATTTCTATATTGTCACACTGATAAATGATGCAATGGACATAGTCTACCTGTGTACACAATAAGTACTAATTAAACTTACGTATTGAAAGTCTAGAGAGAAGCCAGGGTAGGTGTTGACTCTTAAGATATGGGTAGCTAGCTATACTGAAATGCCCACCTTATAGCCTGGCCCCCTGGCTGGTCAGCTATGGCTGAGTCAGGTGATTATAATTATACATAAACAAACTCCCTTCACTGGCTCCAACCTCCTTCTGGGCCTCTCATCTCCACCATCTTCGTACTCTACATTCTGTATACGGGCAGGCACACCCAATAAACATGACATGACTTACAGTCTAACATAGTGTTTGTTTATGTGTCATCCTACTCATTGCTGCTTGCGGTGACAGTAAGTGACTGTAAATATATGCATTATGTCAGAGATGGTTGAATACTTTGTGTTTTGTGTGTGTGTGTTAAGATAGAGCAAGAGGCAGGATTTGAATGCAAAGGCAACCATAGTTAGTGAGCAGGTTATATAGTACAGTACAGTACCACAGTGCTTATATAAATTCTGATAAATACTGTAAGGTGAATTGTCATACCTGGATTTACTTGATTTGAACTTACAGTACAGTACATGATATAATGTGTACTGTAGATAGATATGTTGTACTGTACATCTGAAATAAAATTAGTACTTATATTTTGACAATTTGGGCAAGTTAGTTAATCATGTCATCGGTTGTGGATGGTACTTGTGTGTTACCCTGAGATGCAGTCTTATATTTACTGTACTTAAGTACCTGGCATATGTTTATTAAAGTGGTTGATATGTGATCCTTGTACACATGTTGTTGTATGCGTGTGGTGGCGGGGTAGGGTGGGGCTGAAACTTGTTTGTCCTGTTTTGGAGCTGCCAGTATGAGGGCTGCTGGGGTATTGTTACCCTCTACTGACAACTCCAAGGGAGCTGGGAGCCTTAAGGTGCATTACACGCTAACACCAGTACAGTATATTAACAACATTATCTTGTATTACCGGTTGTAATAATCAGTCTCCCTGTTGAATTAGTCAGCATATGTAATAATGATAAAAATTGAATAAGAAAACTTCTTTATTCTAAGGAAAAACACATTTTATCTTGAGGGGATTTTTTTTTTCTGCAGTAGAGTTATTCCTTAGGGCTCAGACAAGCCACAGATTGAAGCAAGACAGTGTGCTCTTTCTTCTTCCAACCCTTCTATATTACAGTACAGTACTAATCTGCTTTTTATTCCCCATATTTTATTCTGTTTTTATCTTCTCTTATTTTTCCCCCCATATTTTTTCAAATTTTTTGTCTAAACTTTCCACCACACCTCACATCTCCATCACCAAGGAACTTCAAATCACCAAAATCCGACCACCAGACCCCACCCCTCCCCCATCCTCACCAAGACCCCATCACCCCTCCCAACCCTCCCCCTCCCCCCACCTTCCACCACGTTAGCTATATATTCTCCCTGCTATCATCAGGGTATCTGGCGTCGACCCTCCCCTCCATGGTATGTTAGGTATGACCCACCTCTGAATATCTCTTCAGCCTACATGAGAGCTTTCCCTTGAGATTTTCATAGACACACAGTTATCATCTCAAGATTATGCTCGGTCACAGATGAGGTGCTCTTATTATTGTACAGTATGACACATTTAAGTATTTGTTTATAAATTCATTGATAAAGGTGTCAGGACCTATTTTTTATTTTGACCCATTAATGTGTGTTAAGTAATTAAACAGAATAAGACTGAATGTTCACAAAGGAAAAAAATATTCACAATTTATTTTATACCTTTGCTTTTGTATCATTAGATTCAGGGAGTTAAAACATTCAAGTAAGGAAATATGAAGTGTGAAACAGTGGAGGGTGTCATATTCCCTTAATGGGGGTGTGTGTCTCTCTCTCTAAAAGGATGTGGTGATGTGGCAGGAGTGGGTGTAGGTACGGGGGATGGAAGAAGGTGAAGTGATGGGCTGGTGAAGAGAATAGGAAGAGAAAGAGTGAGACTTGGTGAGAAGGGAAGAATGGATGAGGTGAGGGAATGGGATTTTGTATGAGGGAGGGGAGAGGGAGAGAGGTAATGGGATGGATGAGGGAAGTAGGAAGAGAGGGGGGGGAGAGGTAAGTAATGGACTACTGTGATTAGATAGATGGATGGGAGGTAAGAAGTGGATGTATGGGGAGAGGAAGTATAGTTGGAGGTGAGGGAGCACAGTATATTGGTGGCTGAGTGCCAACTTGAACTACCGTATAGGAGTGAACCTGTCAGTGTGTGTGTGTGTTGGGGGAGGGGGGGGGGGCACTGCCGGGAACACCCAACTCACGAGCAATACATCACTTGTTTTCCCAATTTCACCCACAATTTGTTTCTATAATATATATTTTTTCCCTCTCGATTTCATAGTGTTTGTTTACATATTTTCAATTTCCCCCTGATCGTCATTTGTTTCCATTTTTAGTTTCCCCATTTTTATTGTCTTTTAACTCATTTTTTCCATTTTCCATTATTATTATTTAGTTTCAAGTATATTTAAAGAAGTGACTAGAGAATAAGTCATGATTAACTTCTTGGGTATGACGACTTAATCCTTCTAGGTGGAATGTGATCTTACTTGAAGGAATAGGTCACTGTATTGAAAGGGTTATGACATCATACTCAAAGGGTTAAGTCATTTTTTACTCAGTTAAGTCATCGTACTCAAGGGTATGAAAATGTCTTACTCACTGGGCTAATTCTTGTTATTCTCTGGGTGGGCGGGGGGTTCTGTCAGCTCTGAGTGGGAGGAGTGAGAGTGGCTTGTAGAAGGAGTACGATTGACTTGTGGGGGAGAGGGAATGAGAGTGGCTTGTAGAAGGAGTACGACTGGCTTGTGGGAGGAGAGGGAATGAGAGTGGCTTGTAGGAGGAGTACGACTGGCTTGTGGGGGAGAGGAATGAGGGTGGCTTGTGGGAGGAGAGGAAGTAGGACTGGCTTGTGGGAGGAGAGGGAATGAGGGTGGCTTGTGGGAGGAAAGGAAGTAGGACTGGCTTGTGGGAGGAGAAGGAATGAGAGGGCTTGTAGGAGTATGTCTGGCTTGTGGGAGGAGAGGGAATGAGAGTGGCTTGTTGGAGGAGAGGGAATGAGGGTGGCTTGTGGGAGGAGAGGAAGTAGGGACTGGCTCTGTGGGAGGAGAGGGGAATGAGAGTGGCTTGTAGGAGGAGTATGGCTGGCTTGTGGGAGGAGAGGGAATGAGGGTGGCTTGTGGGAGGAGAGGAAGTAGACTGGCTCGTGGGAGGAGAGGGAATGAGAGTGGCTTGTAGGAGGAGTATGGCTGGCTTGTTGGAGGAGAGGGAATGAGGGTGGCTTGTGGGAGGAGAGGAAGTAGGACTGGCTTGGTGGGAGGAGAGGAAGTAGGACTGGCTTGTGGGAGGAGAGGGAATGAAAGTGGCTTGTGGGAGGAGAGGAAGTAGGACTGGCTTGTGGGAGGAGAGGGAATGAGGGTGGCTTGTGGGAGGAGAGGAAGTAGGACTGGCTCGTGGGAGGAGAGGGAATGAGAGTGGCTTGTGAGAGGAGAGGGAATGAGAGTTGTTTGTGGGGGAAGAGGTAGTGAGAGGGGACGGAGTGAAGATCTATTGTCAACTGAAGAGTAAGAGGAGAATGAGTGGGAGTTTTCTATACCATTTCAAAGTGGGAGGAGTGGCAGTGGTGACCTGTGAAAGGAGGAGGTTAAGGTGGCGGCAGGAGAGGAGGAGGAAGAAGAAAGAGTATCAGAAGAACAACGTAACGCTTTAATACATCTTTTAAAAAATCATACACTATACACCTCTATATCTCTGTCTTATACCTCTACCTTCCTCTGTCCCATCTTTCCTCCCCCTTTTTTCATCCCCATATCAGTAAAGAGTAAAATATGAGAGAGGAAGGGAGACTAGGCAGGAGGGGGTGGGTGGGATGGGTGGAGGAGGAGAAAGAGACCCTAGTTACTGTACCAGCTAGTCGAGGATGTCAGGATTTTTTTTTACGATCTATGGATGATACATTACCAGTCTAGCGTCCCATAGGAGGCATCAACTCTACTCCCTAACCCTCACCTACCCCCTCTCCCCTCCCCTCCGACCGCTGATTGTATCTCGGCAACCTCGTCTCTGACTTCGCTGATACAATCTCTTTCCTCA